AATGACTTGACTGAACATTTAAACATTAACCGCCCGCTGTGCTAAGAGTTTGAAATTACATAGGTATTATTTAATATTGTACTTGCAATGTATTTTATGAAATCCTAGATAAATTTGCAAAAAAAATCTTGTTTAACATTTATGAGGGGCGGAACGTGACGGCATGGACATAATATCTTTCTGTAACTAGACGTCTATAATCAGACATAGACATGTGTAGGTGTAGCGTCTGTGTAGGTGGGTGCATCGAAGCGAGTGCAGGATTTGTCCGGTGCAGCAAAACGAACAAGAGCGGACGCCAGCTGCAATGCAGCTGCCAAGCCGGCGGCGGAGCCGCCACCGCCCGGGAGCGAAGCCCGTAGCTCGCCAATCTCACCACTACACCATGCGAATTATTCAACTGCCTAATGCAAGTGCAGTCCTATGTCTACAGTACTACACTACCGCCGTTAGTTGAAAGGGCGCTGCTTGTGACAAAACTCAAAATCTTTGCGATAACTTCATACCTTATTCACCATAGGGTAAAATTAAAGTAGTGACAAATCCACCTTTTTACTGATCACGGCAATATACCTAACAATTTAAAAAAATGCCACAAGGGCCCTTTAGACTAACGGCGGCAGTACAGTCTCTACTAAACGTATTTTTTCTAATGATTCGGTATTTTGTTAAACCACTACTGGCATTAATGTCAGCTAAAATCTTTGTTATGAAGCATTAATTTTTAGTTATGAAATTAGATAACGATGAACGTTTAAACTATTTTAATATATATAAATGGGAGTTAGTCATATCATTTTGTTATTCGACTTGTAAGTCCTTTTTATTTACAAAAATTGAATGTAGGCGTTATTTTATTTCTTTTTTATAACATTTTTTTTATGTTAGACAACATCACATACGTTGCTCTGATCCCAAAGTTAGTAACTAAAGCACTTGTGTCATGGAAACCGGAAACAACGACGGAACCACAAACACCCAGACCCGAGACAATGTAGAAAAGTTTTTTCTACATTGACCCGATCGGGTATCGGACCCGGGACCTCGGAAATGGCGACACCATGAAAACCGGTGTGCAAGCCACTCGACCGCAGAGGTCGTCAAGAATTTTAACGTTTTAAAGTTAGTGTAATTAGTAGGAGGGTATGAAAGCGCCCGCGGTAATGTATGAAAACAGCCCTCTTTTTGCTACGGGATTTAAAAAGTGTAGCTGAATGTCCCTTAAACGACTTGGCGCTTACACGAGATATGAGTGCATAATGTATTGAACTCACAACAATGAATAATTGGGAAAAGACGCTGCTGATATCATCTACAACTTTTAAAAGGCGCCATCAGTAAAAATGCTAAAAAAAATAAAACCAGATACGAAGAAATCGTGTTCGCCTAGCTAGACATGCGATTGTGGTGACTACAGTGAGCAATTATTGTTACAAGTGGTAAGCGGCTTCAGGTAAACTTTAGTTCTGGGTATGTCAACTAGAAAACACAATTTGATTATAAATTATTAATCTATTTTAAAAAAGTTTTAAAAAACAAAAAGTGTACTTAAAGTATTTATTTCTCATTACGTTGCAAGTACTCATTTCATCGCAAACATTTTCAAGTTTAAGTCTATGATACGGATTCTTACTGAGGATAACGGAAAGGTACCTACATATTCCTGATTAGCATTTACTTTGTGGTTACATACGATTAAATATTACATAAACTATTAAATAACATTTCATTAACGTCATATTATTTTTAGTAACAGTAGAGCTCTTTGTGAAAGAGTTCGTCTAAGGATGTACTGCCACCTTACCTATTTCTGCCGCCAAGCGTTTGCCAAACGTTTTGGTTTAGAAGGGTAAGGGTGCTGGTGAAATTACAGGCACATGGGACTTGTCAACTTATGTCTCAGGGTGACGGACGCAGTGGCAATGCCCAGAAGATCTTTGCGATCTTAAGCTCTGAGTTGGACTGCAACTGTTATGGATACGCGTGTCGCTTACCACCCGTCACACGACTTGTTAGTCCCGTCACTAATTGGTATTATAAAAAAAAATTAAGAAAGACAGATGACCTCGGCGATATGAGTACTTATTACACATTAACAAATTTCAATTTTTGCTCGCTATTTAGTAAATCATCTTTGTATTAGTATGTAAATAGTCAATATATGTGACAGTGGGGAGAAATCATTATAAATTAGTTTTGGTTGATTGTTATCAATGCCAAGGTTAACTTTAAGGTTTATCATTCGGATGTCGATTTTACTGCATACATCTAAGGTTGTTTGAAGTCAGTACCATTAGTCGCTGTTACTAGTAACACTCACTTAGCGAGACAATTTAGCAGACTCGTGATCGCTGACGTGTCCTCGTTCGTGCTTCGGAGTTTTCATTCGGCCAGAAAAAACACCTCCCTTAGAGCGCGTGAGGCTACGAAATGTTCGCAATATGACACAGATGTGAGACCAACCCTCGGCTTCTACGATATTATATTCGTAAATTTACTTTTTCTGCTTTATTTCTCGTATTCAGTTTAGAAAACGCCAACATTATACAGCTTTTAGGTATCTAAGTGAGAATGAAGAGCTAGATAAGCACGATAAGTTTTTAGGAATTTAGAAGGATATATAATATTTAATCTTTGTTGTAGAACAGAAAAAAAGAGAAGAAAATTACGTCTAAGTTTACATAGGTAATCATTTACGTCCATTCAAAGTTTTCCTTTGACCTAAAAGGAACCCATAAAAGGAATCCCAACAACGTGGTGAATCGTTCATCTCGCCCGACAAATCATACAAGCTTTCCGGTTTTCCTGGTGGAAATCTTGATGTAGATAAGACTAATATGTTTTTAATATGTAGACGAATCTGCTTTGGGTAGTTGAATGTTCTTGTATTGACGTGGAACACTTGTAGTGTTGTTCGTAGAGAGCTGATTAGGTAAATCTACACACATCGGCTGAATTTCGTTTTCATATAATTACGCAAGCCACAAAGGAATTACATATACAAACTAAGTGTATTTTGTAATACTAATTCTACAATGTAAGATCAGTGTATGGGGTAGGTAGCCCGTTACATCCTTGCGTTTTGCTTACTGGTGTGACGTAGTTAGTATGAATTTGAAATTGTCATTTATAATTGATTCTACTTAAAAATATTTCTCTTTGTGTATAGTGCTATTAGCACTATGGTCGCTATGGTGGTAGGCAGAAATTGACTGTACTTTACCACTACTTTTTTTCCCGGATTATTACTTTATTAAATATAGTTGCCGAAAGAGATTATGTCGTATTGGAGGTAGGTACAAAGTTCTCAACAGCCATTCCTGCAACAGGCTTCTTTAATTTAGTTTTTCGTCAGCCCCGAATTCCGACTAAAAGCAGCAGATTTAGCAAATCCTAGTTGGAAGTCCCGAGTCGACCACTCCTGCGGGGAGCGCCGCCACCCTGCCTGTCACCCACCCTCCCCGACTTTCACTCTCTTGTGCGTTGGGGATCTCGATTCTGCTGTGAAACGAAACATTCTTAGAGCCTTTTCTTAGCCAAGCAGTTGTAGGCCTAATGGCGCTGGCATCACGAACCAGATTGCCGTGAAATGAAATGCGGCGAGGTCGGAAGGTCTGTGAATGTCGCGTCTAGGGGGTAATAAGCGTCGACATGTGAGTAAGGAGCTATAGGGCATATTGAGTGTGAATAAGGCCGAGGTTCGCGTGCTTTGAGGTTGTAACACGTATAAAGCGATGCTGCCGAAGACATCACCGACAAACTGGATCCCTCGTCACCGGGCAACCCGCACACTTCTCAAATATCCGACGGGGACCTCATCGTTTGAGATACCGATTAAAGTATGCTATAGCTGCGATAACGACTGTTGTTTTTAAAGTTACACGCACGTAGATAGACGCGTACGTCATTGCAACAAACAACGCCGTCGCCGCCGCCGCGCCGCGCCGCCGCGAGAAATATTCAACAGCTAACAAGCTTCAATGGATAAGTCACGTTGCCATTTGACACTCTACATATGTGAAAACAGTCGATATGTCACTCAGCCGCTCCAAGAACGGCCTTGATGTTCTGACAATGTGGCGTCCACTGCAATCAGCTTCAAATTGATTGTGTGAATCCCAAGCAGAACTATTTTCTGTATTGGCCGTGTCTTTAATTCTAAGAAGTAACACCAAAAAAATTAAACAACAAGTAGATAGTTAGAAATAGATATACATGTACCTTTCTGGATCTAGTTACGTACCTAGCATATTTACAGATCTTCTCATACTTACATACGATAATACCTGATTCTTTCGATATAATCAGCATATTACATTCGACTATATAATATTAATTGTCTACTATCCTCCACAAAATGCAGATATTTATTTCTTTCTTTCGCACGTGACAGACAATGTCTACTGGTGCAATAGTGACGACTAAGTTAGCCAAGTCTACCGATTTAATCCTACAGAGTGTGTCGTTCGTCGCAATTACACTGTAGGTATCTGCGAGTGTATGTATGTATAGTAAATAGGAACGACGCAAGAGCAGGCAGAGCAAAGACAGAGAGCAGAGCCGGAGGCCGCGCCCGCGTCGTTGCCGTCGCCACTACTCCGGCAACGACCCTATAGCCCACGCGATAAGGCGCACATCGCCACGCGCGCTCGCTGACCTCACCACAGCGCCCGGCAAATAATAAATATGTAACACTGATAAAGCCGCAGAAGCGATGACCGGCAAGTATTTAGGGATTCTCGTTTGGCAAACGAACAACATACAGTCGTACGACAACCACAGCGACGGCAAGCAGCTTCAGAGGTTGCAAAAGACAACGCAGCGTGGAGTGCGTAAACACCGGTGATTTCAAAGTTGCCGGTAACATCGCTAAACAATACAGAAACTTTAAGAATTTGTTTGCTACCCAACAAATAAAGTGGCGATTGCAATAGAGGTTTATCTACTTACATCTTAAAGGTAAATAGTAGGTAATAAATGTCACGTGCAGAAGTACATACCTGAGCGCGGCGGAGAGGATGCAGCGGCAACGCGCGGGTAAAACAGTACTCGTGTCGGTGGCGCGCGGCTGACTGGCGGGCGGGCGGCGGGCAGCAGCGAGCATCGCCGCGGCAGCAGCACCGCCGCCCGCGCCCCGCGCCTCGCTGCATTCCGTGCGTGCGCCCGCCGCCGGTCGCCGTCGGGAGAGCCGCCGCCGCGATCTACTTCCACTGACTTCAGCCGCCTCACGCCTCGTGCCTCCCCATATCTCGCACGCACGCCACTTTGCCTGTCACCTCTACATGACCCTCAAGTGCTGACCGCCGCCGCCGGCGACCGCCCTCAACACCGACCTCCGCCAGTGGCTCTCTTAGAAACAGCATCTCTACTTGCATATAATACAATTTGAATATAGATGATACCTACATTCATTGACCAAGCACAACACTGCAACTTTGTAATGTTATGCGTATGCCATTGTCCCAACTCTCCAGTGCAGAGGTACTATAGATAACCCAAGCTAGGTTCAGGACCTATGTTTCTGCGAAAAGAAAGCCGGTGAAAGAAGTATTGAGCTACCGACTCTAAGTTACTTGTACAGTATAATTCTCTATGTTAGATGCTAGGTTAAATTATACTGAACGACGACTAGCAAATTGCAACATTAAGAACATAACTATACTCTGACATAGTATCTAAGATCAGATTTAGATGTACTACTTACTATAAGGCAAACATGACACTCGGAAGCCGTGTCTAAACTATTCCAACGTTTACTTATTTATTTATTTTAGGAAGATTTACAGCGAATTTTTAACAATAAATAAATGTTGAGTAGCAGGTGAAAATGCTACAAATCTCCACAAGTAGCACAAAAAATAAGTTATTATTAAATTATTATTATGGGAAAACAAAACCGTATAAAACATCGTATAAACAATACGTACAGCATACTATATGCTGAATAGGTAAGTACATAACGATTGAAATAAAATTAATTTATATAATTCATAAATTTGTTGTATGTCTTTAATAGTAGCTAAAAGCATAATGCCAAGCGTAATGTGCCAAATTTGTATTAGGTATAAAAACATAAATACAAAATGCACATATACAAAATACTTTTTAAATGTTACCTAATTGTGCTGCATTTGCACTATATTGCCCCTGCTGAATTAACACAATTTGATAAATTAGTAATTGGATGTTGGACACTTCGGCTTGGGGCTTTGGACCGTTCTTATAGTGGGCAGTGCGTTATTATTCTAAGGTAGGCAGAATAGAATTGAATTTAAATTATAATTTTCAAATTAGACGTAGGTACCTTTTGACTTTGTATAATAAAGCCATGTAGATCCAAATGGAACCGACACTGGCCCAAGCCTATATAATAATAACATAGTTCGCACTCGCAGTCCGGTAGGAATTACAATGATCTAGCATCATTAATTTTATCGGGTAAACTCTATTTTATTTACTTACCTACATAACGACTTATAACCATATATTCAGGTTCACGTCATGGTGCAAAAACAATTGTGATGATAACACTATCAGTACTTCGGTAGACACTGCAGAAAGAAAGACACAAGAAGGAGAGGTGGGGGACGCATTCTATACGCTGGAATTTCGAGGAATATCGATGTTTTGTACGAGTTTTGGTTTTAAAAGGCGACTCGTGTCCCACTGTATTCCGATATAATTAGGTTATTTTTGTATTTTCAACTGTTTTGACTGTTCTCGTTCTTGCGGTAAATACATGATTGTTGGCAGAACAATTCAAATTTATTTTACACGGGCATCGTTAGATAATCCGATGGGTAAAGAAAGTTTCGTTGCACTTTATTGTGCATTCATTGACGCAGTGATGAAGCGTGGTGACAATGATTAGTATAAATAACCCTTTGGGCCCTATAATGCAGTCAATAGCACATCCAGCTTTATATTTTACAAGTAAATTCAACATTGCGCCGCTTGTGATGAGAACAGTCCAAGGTGTAGAATGTAACGAGGAGTGTGCTGTTGATTGTACTTTGAATGGAAACTACGGGCTCTGTAGATAATGAAGATGCATACCTACGTTGCTAACATTTTCGAAATAGCTCCTCACACTTATAAATTGGAAAAATAATTTACTTAGTTTTGGAATACGAGTGAGGAATTTGTGTACTAGAATCCGAATACTCCTGGGCATGAGTCGACTAAGAAAACCAATACGTGTACCTACATAAAAAGTAGGAAACATCATGGTATTCCTTGAAGTTCCCGCTTAAAAAATGGGTCTGTCAAGCTATCTTTCCGTGGTGAGTTTTTACTCCTGTGGGTGTACGGTTGGTACCTTAGAGAGTCACCACACTCATAAACGCGGTCAGAATTATTTTATATCCATACAATATGAGCCAAAAAGACGACACACGTTTCTCTTCCGCTCGGACTGCCCCGCCGACGCAAAATGCACAATATTATTTCACTCTTATTACATGGATATATATGCTCTAATATGGAGCTAAAGCTTTTTCAAACTTCCTTTTTGCGATTCCGTATTGTTAAGGGTAGTGAGTAAGTATGGCTCTCAAAATGTACACAATGTGTCAAAATTCTATACAGAACGTATGTGCGTTACGTTATTTATTGTACAACGTTCGAATTTGCAGTTTCAAAAACAACGATATCTGTGGAAATGAATTGTATTGTTCTGTTCGTCATGTGGGTGGTTATCGCAAACACGAATTACTTAAACGGCCCACTCACTGCCTGCTTGGCAGTCCGCCGCGCAGGCAGGAGACTGCTCACACACTATCCAGCTATGGCCCACGTATGAAGTCTCACAGGATGCATTGCAGGATTTACAGGATTGCAGGATGGCTTGCATGCTGCGTCTACATTCATGATCCTGCAATACGCGGCGGACGGCAAGGCGGACTACAATGCAGGATAGTGAATACCCCCTTTTTTGCCGATGAGAAGAATGTTGCAATTTGCTAACGCAAAAAAGCTATGTAAGATGAAGACAAATAATTAAGCTTTTTTAATAAATCCACCTCAGTGCAGAATCGACATTTATTAAAAAAATATCATTTGAATGCATCAATCTCCAATTAACTCAAAAGGGTGCGTACAGATTTAGCGAATGCGCCTGTTTATGAAAGGCTCATGTAGTGTGATCTGTTCGCGTGCTTGCCGCTCGCGCGCTATCTATACTTGCTTACCTTGCGTGAGATAATGTGATTACAGAGGCAAAAAAAAAATAAAAAGGCGTTTTTAACAAAGGTGTGTACATGTAGCACATGCGCTAGATTTATACGCCCCTTCACGAACCATTTAAGAGTTATCAAAAGGAACCTCACTCAGCACTAAGCTACGGCTCAAAATCGTAAATAAGTATCTATGTATCGTATATTAATATGTATGATTTAATAAAACAGTAAAAAAAGTCTACGTATGCCGACTTCGTCTTGGTCATGGCAAAACTTAGAATACGGGATAGTTCAATTTGTGACTGTAGCCTGGATGAAGGCACTCCAGGTCATATATTTTTCAGCTGCCCTAATAGAACATGTTCTATAATAGTCTTCCACTTTTTATTCCTCATCCTGTAAATTTTAAGTTCCTGTTATTTGTCTTTACAACCCCCGCTTAAAATTAATAACTGATTTTATTTGCATTAACAAACTTATATATTAAAATATATCTAATGGTGTCATTGACTTACAAATAAATGGTGTCATCATTGACTTACAATTATATGGACGTCGGGTCCGCGCTAAAAAGTGTCCGCACTTTTAAGGCGCTAAAATCGTACACAGAGCGCGACACTCCGCTTTAGTCTTCATTTGTTCTACTGACAGCGCGATACTGCGATGACATTACAATTTAAATTTCGAATAGGTTGACTTGGGACATTTTTTTCGTGGTTTTTGTATTAGACCCGTCGTCCATTTATTTGTAAGTCAATGGGTGTCATCATTGTTCAGAAGTCGGCATAGACTTAAAGAGCATAGTGTCTAGTTAAAGATAAATTTAAAAAAGTGTGACTCCCATTCCTTTATTTTTTTCCCAATCTCTATCATCCTCATTGGCAGAATTCTTAAGAGAAGTCAGAAACTTAAAAATAAAATAGAACAGAATTAAAAAATACTGAATAATGCTATATCCTGCTGAATAACGCGGCAAAAGAATACTTCAGGGAAAACCGTTTCACACCGACAAGATTTGATGATGGTAGCTGCACAATTCTGCAAAGACCTCTAAACAAATGCAAAAAAAGTGAAAATATATTAATTTTTTTTTAATTTATTAAGGCTTTGGCAAAGCCATCAGCCTAAACATGAAGCTTAATTATTTTTCTGTAAATATGGCCGCCACAAAGAGGATAGGCAATTTGAGGCGGCGTGCTTGGATTGACTCGGGATTCCTTAGAACGGGCCGATACGGGTATTTTAGTTCGAGATTCGTATAATTTCGCGTTTTAATCTTCGATTAAGGCACAATAGCACTATCCTATTCCACTTTAAACTAGATTTCACAAAATAATTGAAAGTCAAAATAAAAACGACACTTTTCCCTCCAAAAGGTCCAGAGCGAATCCTGAAAATATATTATATAATAATGAACCACCGTTTATAGAAAGCGAGATAGAACATTGAATAAAAAAGCTAAAAACTGGCAAAAGTCCTGGACCAGATGGTGTAACATATAAAATGATAAAAGTTGGATCAAATATAATAATAAAGCCGCTTACCAAGCTATTTAATCTCATTCTAATTAAGAAAGAACTATCAGACTCAGGGATGTGCTCGAAAATAGCACTAGGGGAAGCCGGGGCTGGTAGTTCCCGGGGTAAGTTGCTCTTACAGCAATGACTTTGCAAGAAAAATATGTAGCAATACATGTGAAGCGCGTCGTTAAAGCATCAGGTGATGCGACTTGCCGGCAGCCATTTCAATAACTCCGGCGACGACGTGTGGCTATGTGTGTTTAAAATTTTTGGTCTGTCTTTGTTTATTATGGACCGATTCATACGTATAACTTTTCTAAATTGTAGTGACATTAGTAAGGAATCTTATTGAGTATTTTTTTCATTGATTCTAATATTTTGCCGGTTTGTCAGTCTTCGTATAAAAACGTAATTTGGAGCTATAAGTTCCTCTCTCGAAGGGCTGGTTGTTCCTAGAAACAACTTCCCCAATTGATATGCAATCATACTTAAAATTTGTATCACCATTTTTCTTTGTTTTAAGGATGCCAAACTACGAACGAGCTCATGTCAAATATTTAGACAAGGACTCTATCAGTCACTAATGTGTGTCTCAACTGTGATTCAGATGAAGAAATGATCGATGAATAATATTACCGATGAATAAGAATGTAGTTTTTTTTGTTGTTAGTTGTGCATAATTTAAACATTACATACGTACAATTATAATAAAATTTTGTGAAAAAAAAGCAGTGGTTTTATTTAAGAAAATCTTTGTTATTCTGTCATAATCTAGGCGGAACAATTTGCCTCAAAGGCGGAACAACGCGCCCCAAAGCGGAGCTGAATGTTCCGCTCCGAATTTTGTCAAAAATTTGCCTCTATGACAAAGACTATTGAGATATTAGTAGAAGTAACTATACTATTACAAAAAGCGATAAATATTTGTTCAACATTTCCACATGTTAAAAATCAAATCCTTCATTTTCAGTATAAAACTGCAAGTTATTTGAAAATCGGAACGTTCAGCCCCGCTCTCCCCTACTCTACAGAAAGGGAAATCCAAAATTAATAACAAACTACAGGCCTATTAATGTCATATCCTGTTTATACAAAGTATTCGCATCAAATCTATTGCGACGTGTGACAAAGATAATTCATGAAAATCAGGCAATTGAACAAGCTGGATTTATGAAGGGTAGTCCTTCAATCCACGACAGACTACATGTATACACTAAAATTGGTTATTGAAAAATATAAAGAATATGACTTACCGCTATACATAGCATTTATAGACTATTCATGTGCATTCGACTCTATAACACACAATTCTATGTGGCATACGTCAAATGAAGGGAGTTACCCATGACTATATTGAAGGAATAAAAACAATGTATTCAAGAAATAAAACATGACTACGTCTAGAAACAAGAGGACCAACTTTCAATGTATAGCGGGGTGTAAAATATGGGGACCCGCTATCACCTAAACTGTTCATCGCCGTCTTAGAATCAACCTTCATAAAAGTAAACCGGTAAAATCTTGGCATCAATATAAACGCTACATACCTCTCGCATCTTAGATTGACCGACGACATTATGCTACTATCAGAAAACCCACAACAACTGGAATACATGTTGGAAACTCTCAACTACCACAGTCAATAAGCAGTCGGACTGCATGTGAATACAGATAAAACCAAGGTTATGACAAATAGAGGCAAAACAAAATATCTATATAAAAAGTACACACAGAATATGTGGAAGAATATGTTATCTTGGACATACGAGTATGATCGCATTCAAGTCCTGCACAGAAAGAGAAATAGACCGAAGAATTAAAAGCACGTGGAACAGATACTGGTCTATGAAAGAAATTTTGAAAGGATCCCCCTACCAATAAACTTAAAAACAAAAGCAATGAATATCTGCCTAGCCATGCTTAACATTATGCATGTCAAACATGGGAACTCAAAAAGTCCTATCTCAACAAAATAAGAACCTGCCAAAGATGGATAGAAAGACGCTATATGAACATAAAGATGAAAGACCGCATTAAAAGCTCAGTAGTGACCAAAAGCACAAAGACAAGAGATGTTGCAAGTCGGGTATTGCCACGAAAGTGGAAACAAGCTGGTCATATTCAAAGAGTCATAGATAGAAGGTGGTCACAGATAGTCACGAACTGGTACCCGATTTATAAGAAAAGAAGACGAGACAGATAAAAGAGGTGGAGTAATGATATCGTAGAGGTAGCAGGAAATCTATGGCCAAGACTGACACAAGACAGAATCTGTTGGAAGAAGATGGAGGAGGCTTTCACCGCTAAAAGCGGCCCCTACACATAACACTACTAACTGTAATTAAGTAAATAATTTAGACAGCAGTAACCATACTAACAAATAGAAATTGAATAAGTTATATAGTAAACTGTACTGTTGTAAGGGATAAATAAAGCTATTATTATTATTATTATCCTGCTGAATATAGTAATTTTACCGTAAGTTGCGTGTTAGTTAGGATTTAATTTTTTGGCAGTCAAGTGTGTCAATAAATAAAGGATTTCAGGTTGTTCTTTATGACAACTATTAATCTCATTAATTACAGGTGAACATGGGATCATATTTATAGTAATAATGTGTTTCCGGCTCTAATGATTACTGAACCCTATTAGATAGATAGATAAAATAGAATAGAATACTCTAGGTGTGCGGATACGGTCTGAAGTACGTGTGGCGCACTATAAGTTTCCGGAATGAATAAGAAAAAAATACTATGTTTATGATTATTTGGTCAGAAGAGAATTTATTGTTTCTCTAAATATTCTCCGTTAGCGTTAATGTACTTTTTCATACGAATGAACCAATTTTGAAAACGTTTATGCGACTCCTCCGTGACTAACTCTGAAACATATTTTTCATACTCTTCGACAGCCTCTTCAGGTAATGAAAATCGTTGACCGCGTAACTGGTTCTTAATTTTTGGAAATAAATAAAATACACAAGGTGCCTGGTCGGGACTGTACGCGGGATTGCTCATAAGGTCAACGTTGTTCACCTTCTATAATACATTTGTCTGTCTGGCCGTGTGAGAACTGGCATTATCGTGGTGCAAGATGATACGGCGTTTATGGTTTTTTCATGGAGTTTGTCAATAACTTCCGGCAAACAAATGGTCGTGTACCAATCACTATTCACGTTACAACGATTCTCCAAAGCAACAGTAGCCACGTGTCCAATGTTATTAAAAAAAGAAGCAATCATCCGCTTAGAGGCACTTCGCACGCGTGCCACTCTGGTTGCTTTCGGCTCATCTCAAAAGACCACACGAAGACGTTCGATTGCTGCTTTGTTTTGGGATCGTACTATAAATCCACGTTTCGTCACCGGTCACTATGTCCCACACCAAATTTGACGCCCCTTCGTTGAATCTGGTAAACATGGCATTGCACCAAGTGACGCGATCCATTTTTTGAGCCACAGTCAAATTGTGTGGGATCCGCCGAGAGCTCAGCTTTTTCACACCCAAGTGTAGTATTGATTGTATTTGACTCATGCCTATGCCTAAAGATACCCGAATTTCATGGTATGTCACATGCTTGTCTGTTTTGATCATACGGCGTACAGCATCAATGTTTTTGTTGTTCAGTGCAGTGGACAGGCCACCATCACAAAATTCGCCACAGATTCACACGACCGCGTTTGAATTCTGCAAACAACCTATAAATAGTCGCCTTGCATGGTGATCATCGCCAAAAACAGGTTGAAGTCGAGCGAAGCTCCGTTGAGCTGTTAAATTACACTTCTAGCCGTAAAAAATCATACTACGAAAATTTTCACGGGTTAAATCCATGGTGATGTAGACAACCAAATTCTAAAATGACGCCATAATGTAAAAACAAGTGACAGTCAGATGAAACAAACTGTATTCTTCGGCTAAATAATTCCATTTTCAAATGTTGTAATTACTTTTTAAATATTGTTTATGTAAGTGGCCAGTTCCGGAAACTTATAGTGCGCCCTATGTATTTTGTTGTGTCAGATGTAGAGTTGAGTGACTGTGTCAGCAAAAAGGGATTGAGTCAGCATTATACCGCAGCTCAGTCGAACCAGATCGAACTACGACTCTGATGATTCTGCCAAGTCCTAAGGTCCTATTAATGGTTATGTTTTGGTGTGGTGCGGTATGCATGTACCGGAACGTACGTGCCTACGTTAACTAGTGTGTCTTTCCAAGTTTATGAAGAGGCTGTATGGTAAAACCTTTTCCTACCCAAATGTGTGAAAAACTAAAAAAAAATGTGCTTGCGCGCGTAAACTTTTTTGATGTTTAGTCTGTAAATTTTGTTTTATTTCATATAATTTTGTTTTTCGCAATAAATAACATGAATGTCAATATTACGACATTTACAAACCCGTTTTCCTTTTTTTGTAAAATACAAAGTGACGATGAATGTTTAAATGTATTGGAAACTAATGTTGATAATCAAAATAATTTTCATCATTTTCACAAAAGTGACATCTCTGATTTTAACCATGGTCAAGTAAGTTTTGAATTTATTGATAACTGGACTACTGCTTCTGTTATTAAACTTATAGGAACTCCAACAATTCGCTGTGTATTGTGAGGAATGTACACAAGGAAAGTAATTGTATTAATTCCTTATCTTTTGTATGAAGTTAATAAAACTACCCACAATATTTTTTATTGTAGTATGTCGCAGTTCTGAGGAATAATAAATGGAACCGTGGGGTTATTAGCATGGAGACACAGTTCCTAATCTGGCTGGTGGACTTCGGATTCTACTTGCGACCTGACGAGAAAACTGTATTTATTACTTTACCAGCAGAACACAAAACACTTCCCACGAAAATATTTGAAGCAAGCATTCATGGTGTCACACCTGTAGATAAAGTATGTTTTATTTTTTTAAATATTTGTAAAACTTACTTGTTGAGTTTGGGAGACATTTGGATTTAAGTGAATTTTGCTACAAAAATGTTAACAGGCATAAAACTGAAAAATCTTTCTACAGTCTGCCTGTTGTATACTTTTTCTTTTTCTCCTTTGGATATTGAGATACTACAGAAAACTAAATAAGCTATTAAGATATTCAAGTATGTAACATATACTGTATGCAAGTATATAACATTTTGTATTTACTGATAGTAGCACATCAAGCTACACATTTACACAATTAAAAGTATATGTATAGCTTGTTGTGCTATTGACTGTACCTAGTTGTTTGTAACAATGGTTAAATAAACAAATGATCTCATTATCACTTACAAACTACTACTACTACAAAATGTGTGAATATTGCTGCATTTAACATCTGTAAAATTTTACAAACAACCAAATGTTACTTGTTGATCACTTTTTGGTCTTGTATTAACCTTAAGTTCCCTACTCTAATGCCTGTTTTGTGATTGAGAAATAAATAAAACATCATTCATTCATTAATTACTTACCCAACAGATTAATTGTATAGTGAATTCTACAGTGTAAATGAAATTATTTTGTAGCCATTACAATTATTATTAATATAATATAAAGTAGTATAATGTAATAAAGTTCACTTCTGTGCATCCAGTCCCCAAATGTAAACTGCTAGGCCGCCAAGGTCGCCAAAAAGTAGTTACTTTTGATGTTGTTGTTTTTTTACTTTTTGTATTTTAAATAAACTACCATGGGACTCAGACATATTCACTAAACTCGACATGTTACAAACCAGTCTGTGGTCCTTAATCTTGAGATTCCGCCCTAAAGCCTTAAAACTTCAAACTTTTGAATTTACTTAATTTTTGTTAATTTAAAAATTACTCTCTTCACAAATTTCTAATGTTTTGTTGTAGAAATTGAAATGTTGTTAGTTTTTGTTTGTTGAAAACATATGTCATTTTTTTTTTGTGGTACAAAAAAGTATTTATATCAATGACCTAATTTATTACATACAAATTGCGTTAAGTGTATAATAATAATAATAAAATTATAGTATTAAAATAATAACCCAGATTCCACATCAATTACCTGTTTTCAAGCTATTAAATCCCTGTACTATGAATACAAAAGCAACAAAATCAACTTCAGGGACGTCAGCCAGAGTAGCAAGATTTTTTGTCTAGAAAAATTAATTTCCAAATTTGTTCTTCAGGGGTCGAATCTGGGACCTCCTAATCTAGCATATCTAGTGCCATAAAGCTAACTACTAAGCCACCTAGATTGTCGAAATACATAATATATTTACAGACCATGACGGAATTCCTTCAAATAGCCAACCAGACAACAACTGTGTGGAACGCAGGAGCCATTGAAAAGTCACGGATGCTGATCAAGAGTGCTTTAAAGATAATTTTTGTTCCTATAGCATTGCTCAGCACCAAACATAATGATATAGTAAGCTTCACAAACTATTACTCTGAGTAAGTCTTAAGTCAGGACACAGAATTGCACCCTAAGTTCGATTATCTTTGAATATGATAACTTTCTATCAATGCTAAATAGTTTTAAACAACTATTTTATGTCGAGTTCTTGGGTTTTCGCGATTGTTACACATAGGAAATGAGACTATTTTTCCGGATTTAAATCGCGTATATTTGTTTCTGTTTTTTCAAACAAACCAACATTCTGGGCCCTTAGAGCGTTCAAAGAAGTAGGTATTGCCACCATATCCATTTCTGCCGCTAAGCAGTAATATGAGCACTGCTGTGTTCGGGTTTTGGTGCTGGCTGTTGGAAATTACAGGTACATGAGACTTGGCAACCTATATCTCGGGTTGACAGGCGCAGTGGCATTGCCCCTCAGATATTTACGATTTAAAGCTCTGAGTGGCACTGCAACTGGCTTAGACAGGCGTGTCGCTTATCACCAGGCGCACGACTTCATCGTAAAAAAAGGGTAAATTAGATGATTTTTTTTAAATCAACAAAATTGTAATTCTTAGAAGATACATGTTCAACAAAAAGTATCTAATTAATTCTTATTTCTGCACAAAGAAAAAGATCTCATTCCAAACGAAAGTCTCATAATAATATGGTTTCAGATTGGGTCAAATCGTCACACCTTTTTTCTGTACAAACTTAGATGTGTCGGTAAAATTACTTATCATTTTGTTATACATGTAGCATAACATAAGAGAGTGAGCTTATTTTCTTTAGCAATATCAATTATGGCTTTTTCCAGTAATTTGCATAATTTTGTTATTTTTAGGTCCTTGGAGACCTGTATCTGCATTTACCCAACAAAGGTATAACAAACCTAGTTGATGAATTGGAGCTGTGGCCTGTCTTCCTTGAAAGGAATAAAGAAACCTACATTGAAAGTATGATTTCTTTAAATTTTTTGTACCATTAACATTTTACTAACTCTATGACGAAATTCGAGATCAAAAATGTAACCAAAGGTACATTAGGTAACACAAGAAAAAATATTTTAAGAAAAGAAATGTCCAAATGTGGAAAAGTCTAAAAATTAACGATTTTCATGTAATATACATGTTCTTAAATTTATCCACACAATTTAAGGACAATATATTATTTATTTGCCTCTTACTTTTGATAAAAGCACCATATTTTATAACATAAGCTCATAAAAACTCATTTTCGCGCTAAGATTTATAATTACGATTCAGATTTACTCACTTTATGTGGATGCACGAACATTAGTTACCATTTTATGTTTGTATCATATTTGTACGTGCATGTCTTATACATGACTTAACACAACATTTAATGTTACAAATGTATTATATTTTATTAATACAAGTGTGTAATTATTATAATATTTATTTTTCTCACATAAATATGAGCTAAAATAATTTATTAAGCTTCTCATTAAAACATTATAAATATCTTGTGATTTTTGATTGATGGGGATGTATATTATGAGATTATGATACAAATTCATTGTAAAAAGTTAAAGATGTTAAAGCGTAAAAAGTTGTAAAAAAATTTATACGATTTTTATGTGAAATTACTGAACACCATGTAGATTATATGTAAAGCCCACGAGTGAGAGATAGTGGAACCTGTTTATAAATTAACCAAAAAGTAGTTCATGATCTATCAGATCTCACTTTAACAGTGACAGTTGTTTGTTCACAACGTTTGTTGTTTTTTATCTCGAATTTAAAAAAAAATAAGTAATAAGTTTGCATTTGACCTCCATCTCACGTGATGGTAAGTGGCGATGGAGGCGACAATGGAGCATGCACACCTAAATAATGCCTATTCACTGTCGCCGTGAAAATGCCCAAGTTATACCGTTCAGGAAATAAGGAATTACATCATAGGCTGCAAACAGATGAATTGCATGACTACAGTTAAAACATGTGTAGTTGAGGCTTCAACTGCAAGCGTCCGCTGCAGTCGAGGTGATGATAATTGCTGCCTTTGATTCTTGGACTGTCGTCCAGTCATTTGACATTGTTAAAAGGATTAAGATTTTTTTGTCTCGATTATTTTGTAGTAAGGGCAAAAGTTAACGATTACTTGAGGGCTTAATCAAGATAACGGTAAAACAAAGACGTCATGGTTGATGAAACTTTTCTCGACGGATTTGTTTCACATTTGCAATTCTTAAAATATGTTTTTATGCAATGACACGTTTTCTTTACATTTTTGATCGCAAATTTCACCGCTGATTGTAGTCGTGGATTACGGAAATGAGTATGTTGACATTTTAAAATGGCGAACTGCGATAGTTATTTGTTTATTTCCTTAATAAAAAGTAAAGTCAGCATTTGGATTCATAAATGTTCGGAATACAGTGACAAGCTGCAAGAAACGTCTGTGCTATCATCTCGACATCAACAAATACACCGAGCTCCTGAACTAGGCTAGTGCAGTTGGTTTCGACTGTATAGAGTTGTATGTATCGACTTCAGACATGCAGTCCGTCGTCTACCGTCTGGTAGCAGCCATATTATAGTGTGCTCCAATATTTTTTTCTTTCATTTTGTCATCAAGTGTTGAGAAATTTTTTGTAAATTAAATATCTACCTACGCATAATGCATACTTACCGCGTTGTTATTGCTTTTGTTTGCCTTTATACAACTATAGATATTCGTATAAGATATTCACCAATAACGATGTGCCTATGTTTGCATGGTAACAATTTGGTTTATACTTTCAGATTGGCCAATTTATTATAACAACCACAGGAAACACAGAGCTTGTGTGCTGAAGCCTAAATTTGATGACTTTGAAATACCCGCCGTTTCTTTAGGGATATCTTTGGAAGAATATAGCGCCATCTGTGAGAACGCGCCGGTATTAGAAGACGGGCTAAACAGCTCATCGTCTTCCATAGATAGCAGCACCAGTTCGGAAAGTGCTAGCAACAAAAAGCAAAAATTCCATTTGCATAAATGGACCGCCGATGAAATCGATGAGTATGCACATATGTTTGTAACTATACATGGTAAAGAATACAACGTATTACACCTGCTCTTAAATAAATTAGCTGACTTGCATATGTGCAGAAAATATAGAGATCACGATTTAAAGTCGGTTGGGCGAGCAAATCATCGATTGAACAGAAGAAATGCAGACCGCGACATTGGCAATATATTTGACGATTTCATATAAAATACCTTACTGTCAACTGTGTCTTTTTCTATAAACATTGACATTTATTCCAGCCATTTCAAATTAGTTTGATTATAAGATTTCTGGAGGAATGATCGGGACTCGTTCTCCGTGTGTGTAATTTATTGCTTTTGAATATGTTTTACGTATGACCACCTGTGCGATTATGTACGCCACGACTTTATTGGTCGCTATCTATAAATCGTTAAAAGGTCGTGTTGAGATCGTAATTGTCTACACCAAATCCGATGGAATTTTTGATAATATCAAAATCCACAATGGCGGTCAAAATCTAAAATTAAACTCGGGCCACGAGCACTCAAACAGCTCCTGCGATATTTAATTTGTTTTTGCATTGTTAGATATTATTATTTAAAAAAAACTAGATTTTTATATACTTATATAGTTTTCTACAGTGTTTTTCGGCATACTCACTTTTATATGGTGAATCACTTACCGAGATAAAATTTTAGAAAATTCAAAGCCAGAAAGTTTATTTTGTTTATGTTTTATTAAGTATGATAGGTAGAAGTGGATGACAAAGGTTACGTCTTTTAATTTAGTAATTATGCGTAGTAAAGCTCGCTTGATTGTTGATCTAGCGTTTAACTTTGTTGATTGATATGAAGCATGGCGACGAAATATGTTTTTGTTATTAAAAATTTGTTTAAGTTCCTCGATTAAATTTTTTTTTAATAAAACGAGCTGATTATTGTAATTTTATGTTTTATTTTATATACAAATATAAATTCTTCCCTTAGGTAAATAAACCTAAACTTAAGTCTTAAATCATATTCTGTACAAATAATTTGTACGACGGATGAAGGGGCAGTGCTGTGCGAAAGTTCCAAATAGGTCTTGTATGGCAAGTTTAAAAGGGTACCATGTATAAATATTTGATGGGACATGAATATTCATGAGTTTCCAAACACCAATGCACAGATACTTTTAAATTCGTCTAAGAAAGTGGCGTAAGTATCTAGTGATGAAATTAATTGAGTAATGGTAATTAGCTGACAACGAATTTCGTTAAATTAGTATCCAACTACTTTGGAGGAAATCACAGACGGAGGCCAGGGTTTGTGCTGGCAACGTAATTAAGGAGCTCCTCTGAATCCTCGCATACGATAGGTTTTTCGTGGTAGCAGGCGACGTCGTGCCACGCAATGCCGTCGTTATACACGTTGTTCAGCACACTCAGGCATGACTCGGTGGTACCATTGATGTCGAACTCGGCGTTATCGGGTTGACGCTGCTTCTTATGCCCAGTCTGCGACCACGGGTTGTAGCCCCAGCCGTTCGGGATCTGCAAACATGTATAAGAGATTTTTAAAGTGAAATCTGTTTTTAAAATTATCAGTGTTCGTTATTGTATTATGCCGGTTTCCGTAAGTTGCGTCTTAGTAAAATGTATAATTTTTCAGCCACATTGGTATGCATATTTGCAACACGTGTGCAAACTATGTTATATCTCATAAACATTACAAAATTCATTACACGCATTAGTTCCACGTCGTAAACTTGTGCATAGGTAACGCATAGTTTGAATACTCGCCTGGTTGGTGGCCTGGATTTTTTCGCGGTTGGCGGACCAGAACCATCCCAAGATGTTCTTGGGTTCCAGGTCTTTTCGCGACTCGCAGCCCTTAAAGTCACAAAGGCGACCCGACGTCCAGATGTATGGCACGTCATCTGTAAATAAGAAGAATATGATACGTAGGATGTGACCAGCTAACGTTAAATCTCAAAACAAAACAAAACAAAATAGTACTAACTTTGCTGGATGAGCTTGAAGATGAGATTGTTTTCTTCCTGGGTCTCCATGGAAACGAGGTCCATACAATACTCGCGGCAGATGTTACGACCTTCCAACCAGTCTACCTTCTTGTTGGCAAGCGCCGGAACATGCCCACTGTAGAAGTAGTGGTGCCCTCTGTAAAAGAATTCCTTTGGTCCTGAAATCAAAACAATACAAGGTTAGAGTAACTTATAATAATACGATAATTCAACAAACTACACAAAGCAATCAATGGAGGTAATCTCTGTCACACGGCGCACCTTTTAACCTCACGTATTCGTCTGCAACATCTAATGAAATTATCATAGAGTAAGTTGCGACGTTAGCTGCAGATATAATAGCCGATGACCCTCGTACCGCGGGTCTAGTACCTACTAAACTGCCCCATCACGGTCATGACATTGATATATTGATTCTATAACAATTGCGCTAAATAAGGTTGTAGCAATACCATTTTCAAAACCGAGTACCTAGTACATTACATTATTATAATTATTATTATGTCTACGTTGTCAAGTGCAGTATTTCAACAATAATCAACATCAGTTTATAATTTAATATTTGTATATTTAACTGAGGAGTTTCATTGCGAGGTATTGGTGTCCACGTATTTCATTTTATGTCTTGTCTGTCGCATTGTATTAGGTACCTACTTATTGTCTGTTAGATTTATCAATTTATCATAATAAAAATATACAAAGAATGCATAATTTTACCTTAATATAAGAGATATTGACAACGAGATTCAGTTCCATCTTCAGCATGTTCTCGTTATAGAGGTTTACATTTAATAACGTGACCTTTCTTTCCCATGGGTAGTCAGTTTCCTATTTTCCTTAACTTTTCCTTCGTTGCACATTCTATCACGTAAAGCATAGTTTCCCAAAAGTGGTCCCTACCCCAGTGGGCGCTGAAGAGACCTAGGGGGCAGTAGGGGCCTTGGAAGCTAATTAAAACACCATTTTCATTACATTCCATTTAATAATGCATTAGGTATGATGCCGGCGATTTGTTATTTTCTGGCCTTGCTTAGGCACGTGTTCACTTATTATGTATTGTTGTTCCTATGACATTTCGGCTGAGTTTGTTTTGTTAAATTCGTCCGGACTTAGCGGTTCCCCACAAATAAAATAGATATATTATTGCGGTTTGGTTTTGGAAAACAGTTCGCGGCGGAGTCGTGGCCGGCGAGCCGGGCAGAAGCGCCCCGCCGCTCAAATCTAGGCCAAGGATACTGAACCGGATGCTCTTTTTTGTTGAAATACTTAGCAAGACCAAACCAACTTACTAAATCCCTTTGTTTGACCATAACTTCCGTTGAACCAAGGGATATCATTGGTTGTGCGAATAAACGGTTTGTTCCGGACATGCAAGCGTGTTATCAAAAAACGACAAATTGAAGTTGGTACAAAATGTTTTTTACCCAATCTTCGAAAATATGGAATTATTGACAATACAATAGAATAGAATATCATTTATTTGCTTTAGAAAGGGTGGGTAGGTACATTATAAATGTTGATGGTAAAATTAGTTTGGAGAACTTAATCCTATTTAGCCTTAAATAAGAGCACGCAGATAATACTATATATTAAGAAATTGATTGAACTAAAACAAGATAATACCATTATTTAAAGATTAATATAATAATAACGCACACACTCAACATAGCCCCGCGCTAGCTAAACTCTGTCGCGGGTGCCACGGACACACATAGACAATCACAAATTACACCCAAACTCACGAGAGAAATAATCGTAGGCCATACAAATATCTCTCCCGGCCAGGCACGCAAAACCGGGACCTCTGCGTGGCAGTCTGGCATGGCATAACTGTTCTCGAAGCCTAGTGTGCAATTCCCTTTTAAATCTAGCCAAAGGAAGGGATTTAAATCGATCCCGTATTTTGTTTAAAACTTTTCCACGCATTGCATAACAGTTACTTGGGAAACGTTTCGTCTTAGGGATGTGCCAAGTGTCACTTTGTTTGGATTCTCAGGCTTCTAACAGTTACATTCTTCGCCAGTACAAAATTTTTGTAGATTTAACCTTACAAATACACCAGCTTCGCTGCTGCTGCCAGCTGTATAACAGGGCAAGGATAATATTTTAACTGATTTAAATGTGATTAATTAAAAATGAGAAGTAGGTATGTATCATTGCGATTCATTCGATATGTTTTCGTGTGGCCCTTTGTCCATTGAACAGATAAGGGGTCTCTGTAATTGCTTTTGCGCAACCGCCAGTAATGAGGAGTGATTGTGTGAATATGTTAAGATTCGCACGGCGGCGGCGGCAGCGGCGGCGGCGAGACGGCGGGCGCGCGTCAGACAATTATTGCGGATTGCGGGGGCCTTGCACGGTGACAGCAGACATATGTGCGATTGTTTGCTTAGTGCAGTACCTGATCACTAGGAAATATCTTAAGCAGTTTCGCAACCGTTAGATTTTAACTTAGTCAGATAGACCTGGAAGTATGGTCTTAATTTGTATACTAAAAGACAATAAAAGATTTTCTACAGATTCGTAAAAGCATGACTCCCTAGGAAACACAATTTATTATTTATATTAACGACGCTATTAAACGTCATAAGTATACGATTAAGTTCTCGGTACCTAGCGAAGGCTAAAACAAAGTTAATAAGCAGTCCATTAGACTAAGATGGATAAGATTCGACCGAAATCGAAAGGCTGAGTTATACCAATGAAGGCTGTATTGCAAAACTCAGATATTGTGATTTTATTGTGCCTGTGCTATAATAAATATGCTGTAGAGTTTACTATGAACGTGAACATAAAAAGCCCGATCAATGTTAGACCTCGCCTGCAGCTATTGAAAAATAATAATGCTAAAAATATGCAGCAGCTGAGTAGTGGATGGTGCGATTTGTTTAATAAATAATGCATGCTCATATTTTAGTACTTACGCAAAGTTTATGTAGCTTACGAAATGTTATAAACTTAATTACGAGCTTAAGCTGGAAAAGAATTTCAACATGGTGGAAATCCAGTGCGGATTGTGTCGGAATTCCATTGAGAAAGCTCGCCTCGGCGGGTGGCCTACGCGGGCAATGATGAAAGCTCGCTCTCTCATTGAGTTTCTGACGAAACCAGCTATCGACGCGATAGCAATAACCATTGTATACGAGGTTATATACTGATAATTAAAATATCGCTATATTTTATCTTTCTATCAATACAGCACAGGTAAGGTAAATATCTGATAAAAACAATACTACAAGTATCTATGTACTTGAACATTTAAGTTTTTATTTCAAGTTCGGTACGTACCAAATTAGTAAATTTACTAATTAAAATAATCTGGTAGCTTAATTTTATCAAAGCAACATAGTAATTATCCAACAAGATTTTTGAATAAGGAAGCAAATCTGGAATGCGGAACTTAGTCAATGTTTCAGTATTCCACCATAAATGACCAAAAGTGGCTTAATTTAGGTAAACCGGTCGGTCTTCATGAATAGTCAGCAAACATAAATTATTTAAAAGCGGTACTTCACATAGCTGTTTGTTGTATCTACTTGGAAAAATATTTGACTTATGACAATCTAAAATAATCGTCTACACATGGAAATCCAAATAAGGAGTTAGAATAATAAATGTGACCATAATGTGGACAGTTTACTTGAGTATTTGCCTATTTGACCCCTTTGGTGCGCGTCGAGAAACCGACTAGCGCGCGGTAACGCGTGTTTGGTGTTTGCTGTATTTGTCAAATAGGCAAGCATCAACAAAAACAAAAAGCTACATGATGATTGTTTATCAAATATATCAAATACCTAAATACAAATGTGTAATGCCATAAACCACCATAAAATACTGGCCACAAAGTCCCGTGACTGCTGGGCTTCCGCAGACGACCCTGAGCCCAAACGCAACGACAGCGCTTACTCATCACAAAATTATTGATTCGGACCATTCGGACTTAATGACTCGCTATTAAAACGAGCACAAGTACAGAAAAGATGTCTCAGGTTGTCAAGGCAGCGGCAACATTTCAAAAGCCGGTAAACGTGCCGGTGTTCGTGTGGATTATGGAATTTGTGTTTACAAAAAACCCACCTCAAAAATTCGTGGAATTACATCTATTTGCCAAGTTTCATTGAAATAGATAACCAGAAAGTGCGCGAAACCGGATTCATCTCCTAGTTTGCCACCTTAGAGGTGGAATACTTTCTTCAAATTTAAATGAGACCAATACTGAGGTACCCTCTTTCCTAAAAAAAAAGGATCACCAAAATTAGTTAGTAGTAGTAGCATTTGTATGCTTGAGTAATCGCGTAATATACACAAAAAAATGCGGTCGAATTGAAAACTTCCTCCTTTTTTTAAGTCGGTTCAAAATGGTCTAATTGTTGCAGCGAGTGCTCCGTGCTCGCTACGTTACCTTTACTTTTTAACCTATAGTAATTATACAAATGCGGTTAATAAATGTCTTATTATATTAATATATATTAATATAATAAGACATTTATTAACCGCATTTACAATAAAAAAGGTTGACAAAGGTAATGTTGACTTTTTTATGACGACATGCTGTTGTTCAGGTTCCACCTTAATACATGGACATTCCGCTGCTGACAATGATCAGACTTCACAGCAATTCTGCCGTCCGCTAACTAAAAGGGCTAAGTGACAAAATATTTTTTTGAGATATCATAAAAAACCATAACCCGGTTTTAGAATATTAAAATTGTTTGATGATATTTCAGCTATGAATCGTTAGAGTGAGTTCCGATAAGTCTAACACGTTAACTAATTTTAACTGTTTTTAAAAGAAAATCTTGACCATTTGTAACTTTTTTAGTTAGTGGACGGCAGAATTATATATTATAAATTTGTTGGATATGCTTGAAATTAGTTATTTTTTTGATTGAACATATTATTATATGTATATTGCAAGTAAATAACAAATACAAACGGCACTGGAACAGGTTTCAACTTCTTACACATACTTATTTAAAATTACTCAGGTGACAAAATGAAACTTAAAACAATACAAAGAAACGATTTGCTTGTTTTTAATTTTAACTGTCTTTGTGGCGGAACGGTTACCATGCCGGACTGCCACGCAGAGGTCCCAGATTCGATTTCCGCGCCGGGAGAAATATCTGTATGGCCTACATTTATTTCTCTCGTGAGTTTGGGTGTAATTTGTGGTTGTCTATGTGTGTCCATGGCACCCGCGACACAGGGTTTCCCTAGTGCGGGGCTATGTTGAGTGTGTGCGTTATTATTATAAAAAAAAATTACGATAGCAATTCAGTTAATATTAAATAACACAGCATACTCCGAGGTCACGTCTGCTAAGAGTATTTTAACTTAAAGTAAGATATTTTATTAACGAATAATTTCTGGCAGAAGTAAACAGTTA